AAGATTGATTGAAATATTGTTTTGTATGTTGCATTAAAAAAAGAAAACAATCATTTTTAACAGTTTAATATGTATTAGTAATCATAAAACCAATCAAGTACTGTGAAAATGAAGTTCGTTGACATATGTATGAATTTCAAAAATAATTTCTCCGTATTTCTATGGTTCCAATTCATCGATATAATAATAATTATAGTAGTAAAGTTTTTATTGTCAAAGTACAGTTAGACGTTTTAATTGCTAATTACAAGTTAACGGTCTCTGATCTTCTGAATGGTCGTCCGTCTAGGAGAATTATAAATAACGAACATAAAAATGATCCTTAATTTTAAATTAAAGTAGCGGACCCCGATAGCCGAGCGGTTAGCGCGTCAGAATATCAGCGGGGTCACGGGTTCGATTCCTACCGTCCCCCATGGAACTTTGGACATTGCGCACTGGCAAATATTACATGTATGTAACAAAACCCAAAAATTACGTGTATTATCATGTTGTTTTGCAAAGCTAATAGGCCGTGTACAATATTGAATATTTGAACATAAACAAATTAATTAAAGGTTGATTTCGAAGAAGCCACCACAAGATTGTGGAGACAAGTTAAATATATTAGATAAATAACATTAACAGTAGACAAAATGAGAGGAACTCTCCACATTGACAAACTTCCTTCCAAGTCGTAAATGAACAGATCTTTGAAAAGCAACCCCAAGATCAGGAAGGAGCGCTAATATGGTATAGTGATCATAAATTGAACAGAACGTTGTAGGAGTAAAAGGGCAGAATACCTTTGCAAAACCCCTTGGACTAATCCTATCTTATACGCCCCAAGTCCATGCAATCCAACTTTTTCCCCAGGAGGTGATAAAGGAAAATGAAAGGTGCACGGATCTACTTACTTTCGGGGTGAAGACGGACCTAATAAGTGACCCAGGCCGGTTCAGCCGAGTTCCACACCCAGCACATTATTTCATGTTTTTGTCAAATTTTTTTAATTACGGGTTAGTTAAAATCATATATTGCACTAAAAATCAACCATACAAAATACTTTATAATTTGAATAATACTTTTATAAGAAACATTTTAAACTTGAGGAAGTGTGGTCGAAGTTTCTCGTTAAAAAGGAAGTACGATCTTACAAACTAGCCAGTCTAAAACGTAAATATTTTTTCTATCACTGAAAAGTTCCTTGTTATCCAACTCGTCCCATTCATTTGTCGCTGGAAATTTTAAAAGAACAAAAATTTTATTTCGTTTGAAGCGTTCTTTAGTTACGAAAACAAATAAATATGATGATCGAATTTAATCAAATTTAAACTTTTTTTTTAATAAGTTGCACTTATTTACTTTTACGGAGTTTCTACCCACATTTTCTGCGTATTTAGGTAGTTTTTATTGTTGTGTCTAACATATTTTATTGATTTATCTGTTTCTCATATGTTTCTCAGCCTAGTTGGCTTATTTTTATTATATTTATTAGCGTGAAAGGAAGGGGTTGTTCAATTTCGCCTGAGGAATATCGAGCCTATTGAGTGAGTGAATGTGACCAATCTTTTATGTCTGTTGGTATGTATATATAGATGTAGGAAAATTGGATGTAGTGGCTCTGGGAATTGAACTCTAAATGTTTATAAATTTTATTGAACGCAAGAAAAGAATATTTAAAGAACACAACTTGAACAAAATAAATATAATTTCGATTATATATTTTTTTTTTGAGTTCGACCATTTCTGAGTTTTGCCCGCCGAAGTGAGGGGGTATGCTTTTGTAACAACAAGATGCACCTCCCCGTTTATTTCGAAAACGATTGGCATTAGCAAGTTAATTTAGGATAGGAATCATCACCAGAATCGGGTAGGGATCATGGCTGCTTTTACGCTCAGCTTATATTAATTTGAAAAAAAAAATTCTTTTCACCACAAAGGATTTTTTTTATCATTATCGGGTAAATTTCATTGTTAAAATGATTCTCAACTGTTATGAATTGTTGCAGATTTGACCATTTATTAAAATTTATGTTTATAATTAATGATCAAATACGCTCCCTGCTTTTCAGGAATTCTTCATTTGTGGCCTTTTCTATTATTTCTGGGCCGATTTCTCGGCAAGCCACAACAATCCGTTGTTGCAATTCTTGGACAGTCAATACTGGAGATAGACTGGCACTATACTCGATTCTTCAATCCCCCTCCCCAAGAAAATAATCCGAGGGGTCAAATGTGGCGACCTCGGAGGCCACGAAATAGGACCATGTGTGCCAATCCATCTCCCTATATGGTCCATGTCCAAGTAATTGATAACGACGCGACTGATGTGAGCGGGGCAACCCTCTTGTTGGAACCTCATATTTCGCCTGGTGCACAGCAGAATTCTCTTCATGAGAACAGGGAGGGTATTTTCTATAAAAGAATGCTCCACGTTGTGTTCCGCTAAAAAAATGTCGTCCAATAGGACGAGGGCCATCTTGTTACAAGAAGCATAAATCCATCACGCGTCTTCTGTCGGGTATAACTCAGAATGGTCGATCCTATCAAATTTTTCCTTTCAATATAAGCGGCATAAAATAAGCTCTAGAAACGAATTGTACAATAAATTATGGTATTCAAAATTAAAATAAATTAGTGCCATTTCCCAACTGGGTGGACTATAGAAGTTGATACACCCTGTATATGTAATGTATGATTTATATGTATTCTGCAGTGGACAACCTGAGGTATAATTGACAGGCTAGCATTTTAGAAAATCATCTTAGATTTCATTCAAAACCAGAGAATCAATAATAGAGCGAGGCGCTCAAATTGTTAAACGCTCAAAAATACGCGTGCAAAACACAAAGAGAATTAAATACACGAGAGGGACACGGCGATGACCTCAGCTTTATGCCTGTCCCTAAACTTCCCGCTTTATTATTATTACGGCTTTGGCTGTTCTTAATCGGTTGTTTAATATTTGGAAACAGTCGGAGCGTATGGACCCAAGGATATCCGTATGGTTTCTCAGGGTGGGAAGTTAAATTGAAGCCAAGAAGGGGGATGAACACGTGGCGCAGGGCCCTCACCTTCACGTTATCAACCCCTTGCGGAACGACCCTAATGCACCCCATTGTTACAAAATTTAAACAATGGTAACCCTACAATGTAGTCCGAGTGTCCGCAATTTTACTCAAAGCATATCGTAGTTTCTATGCGTAAGTCCTATCCAATGAATTATTTATATTCATGAAATTCATTTTTTGATATCATCAGGAAAGGTTGCATTTAGCCATTTTAAGTTTTTTTTAAACTGTGTTTTTTGATTGCTCGTTTCGATCGTTTTTAATCCGTGTTTAATTCTAACCGGTGAAATTAATTCCTTGAAAGCTTTAATCGGAGTTGGGGGTCGCCGGACGGTTAATATTTATCGTCCTATCTCAGGGTTCATGAATTGCGGCTCATGGGCCGAGCCGGGGTGGAAAAGCCATCCCTGGAATGCACAATTGCTCAGCAACCTGGTTTCTGGTACATCAAACAGCGGTATATTTATACGATCTCTGCCTCCGGCTCTTTTGACATCTTAACTCGTGATAGAAAACTTTCTTTTACCACTTTGGAACAAACGGATTATGTTAATATACAATATGTAGTATATTTTAGCAAATAAGATTTTTTTCTCTGAAACTACGCAAAGAATCAGCCACAAACTTATCATATGTTTAGATAAACTGTTTATGTGCTCTCAACAATTTTTCTTACATATTTAAATGGTCAAGTAATTTTAAATTGCAATTTTTAAAAACTTTCTTGCTCTCCTTATTAGACAACAGATCCCTACGTAATAATTGTAAATAAAAGACATTAAAAAATTGAATAATATTTTCGTTAAGATTAACTGTACTATTTACACCAGGTTCAAGTGGAATGCTTAGTGCTGTTTCTCATAACCATAAACGTTACATGCACTACAAAATTCTCCTATCAGAGAACCATGTGAGAAAACTCGTCTCTCGAATGCCTGGGATTCTGCCCCGATGCACTTTCATCTAGATTTACCTTTTGTGCTATTTGTTTATTAAAATTTCTGATCGTGAGATTTTTCAAATTTTAATATTCGTCATAATTTTCAACAGTTAACAAGGCTCAACCTAGGCTGAACACTCCTTTACACATTTAGTATGGAACAATGACCGACGTTGGATCCTTATTTTCGTTGTATGTTTGGGATTTCGCCATCTTCTTCTTAAATGTAACTCCTGCAGATAGTTAAAAAAAATAGGGCAAGTAACAAAGCAAAATGAACTACTTATGACGAAAAATCCAAACTTACATCCAGAATATCCATCTAACTGTATCCAACTGAAAGGCCAAAGTTCACGAAAAACCCAATCTCATTGGCTGTTTAGATGACTTCGTAAAACTGGTTTCAATGTTCGAGAATATACATGAACAAAATATGCTCTACATAAATTACCTCAGATAATGCCTAAGGAAAGGCTTACCTACCATTTTTAGAAACATTGCTTTTCCCTTTTGTACAATTTAAAAAAAATTAAAATCTATAATAATTATCATAGTTTTCAACGGAGAAAGTTAGAAATTATCAGTATAGTTTTATCTGTTTAGGTTTTGCACGTACTGATCAATATCAATTGTTCCTTCAATATAAAGATAATAAATAAGCTGCGGCTACGAAAATTCGGGCCTAAGTTTACAATTGTAGTCATGATCATAGGTTATCATATTTCGATCTTTTCGGAATAATGGTCAGATTTTGAAGAACCACTCTTCTTTGTTGTGAAGAATAAATTTTTTTTTTCATATCTAATTACTGAACCCACGATGAAAATTACAGATAAGATAAAAACGTATGAACTATAGAAGCTTACCCAACCTATGTGTATTGTTCTCTATCGCATGGCTCTACCAAGATCAAAACTTCTGATTGTTTTTATCGATATTTAATTGCTAGTTAAAACAAAAAGAAATTTATATGAAGATTTCTAAAAGTTTTGTTTTTCTTTTTTCAGAGCAACCGAAGCCAACCGGCGATCGGTTTGAAGCAGACGCCGAAAGCCAGGGTAAGTCTATTAAACCAGTAATGCATGTGTGTTTTTTTGTGTCCGTTTGGATGTTCAATAATTTTGTTGAAGTCGTGAGTGAGGAGCGGTCGAATGCAATACAGATGTAACTATAAGATATGAGTATGAAATACATACTTCAACATTTATATTTACACCTGTATTGTATTATATAAAATTAAGATATGCTTTGTAACACACCCAAGCCCGTGAAGATGATCCGAATAAAGGTCAAAACGTCAGCAAAAAAAAGAAGGAAAAAGGTGTTTTTCTAAAATACTTCATTCTTTACCGCTCCTGACGACTTCAACAGATTAAACCAGCAACGTTCACAAGGCTTGCGTCAAAGTATTTTCAAGCCACAGGGTTTCCGTTTCTCCAAGTATGGCACAATTTTTAGATTTTTATTAAAACGTACCCTCAGAAAAAATGTATATGTTAAAATTGTTTTTGATTAGTTTCAAACCCTTCAACGTGAAGATTTTTTAAATAATTAGAGACATTCTTGAAGGATCTTGAAGGATCATTCCACAAAATGTTTCAAAAGTTTGTTCATAATTAAAATAATTCGTTACCTGGTATTAATGTTAATTATAACTATGTTATTTTAACTTAATATTGTGTCTAACGCTATTAAGATAAGGACTCCATTTTAATAAGAAAAAGATATGGAAGTTGTACACAGTATTAAGGAGAGGGGCGGTTCTTAATTGACCCGCAGATCTCCGTACTCGTTTCAAGGGGTATGCAATTAAATTTTGTTTTTAATTGGTGACAACTAATTACTCTATTGGGAGAAAAAGGAAATTGACAATACGCGAAAGTCAAAAGTAAATATTTACAATTTATTTACACAATGAAAAAATTAAAGAAATTTCCTCAATTATATCCAAAATAATTTGCAATCAACGTTACTGGGTAGGGTTAAAAAAATAATACTAATAATATGACGAAATTGAAAAGTTGGTATTTGGCTTGATAAAGACGCTTCAAAACAAAAAAATTATAAATGTGTGGTGATTAGTGACCGTTAGTCGATAATTATTCATAAATCGTGAGATGCGGTCTGGTGTGATGTAGGTGTCAGAAAAACATTTTCTTTATTGTGCCAACGTTTCGATCTTCAGGGCCCCTAAAGATGATCTAAAGAAAATGTTTTTCGGAAACCTACATCACACCAGACCGCATCTCACGATTTATGAATAATTAAAAAATAGAAAAAAAAGCAACAACCAGTATTGAGAATGAGGTTACAGCTGGGGTACGAGACAGTTGGCGAAGATGGCCCGTGAGGTAGGTAATGTGGCGACATGGTGACGATAAAAGAATCGATGGTGAAGATCGACGCAAAATCGATATTAGGCTCGATAATCGATTAGGCAGGCGGTATGTCCTTCCGAAATAACAACGGTACGGCCCTCAACGATTTAAACAGGGCCTCTGCAAGCGAACCTTGGTCATTTATGTTTCTCACTGGGGTAGCAATGTCCTGAGCAATACATTGAAGTTCTTTTGCATGCCCACCTGCCACATAGGCTTATCTCACGTTTAGATTCTCAAGTTAGGACCGACTCACCTCCGCGTACGGTTGGCTGTAAGACCTGAGCCCACACATCATGCAGCAAGGCCGATATCCGACTTCTCCAGCTTGCCCCTTCCGAGGGGGTTGGTTTACATTGAGTACTCAACCGTGTGCCGCGCGTAAAGGGATACCCAAAAGGGGTCGAAATGCATTCCCCAAGTTTCCCATGCACTCCCTAGATAGAGAAGACAACTCTATCTCCCTGGGTGTAGGGGGCCCATGCTAGCGTCGAAACCCCGGATCCGGTCCGGCCGATTTAAGAGGAATTTCTAACCACCCTCTAGAAGAGGCCATGCCTTTCGGTTAAGGAAGCCAAGGCGGGCACCACCGAAAAACATCCGCCTCCGTCCACCATCCCTCAAGCATTCGAGGGACTCCGTCAGCGTAGTCTTAGCCACCTCGTAGGCTGTACGCTTCGTCAGTCCGATCGCTCCAATACCCGCGAGGTTGCTCGGAGGTCATATGCAATGGCCCTGGCCCACGTCTACGGACGAAACACAACCTCTTCTCTAGGTGCCCGCTAGGGGTCTCGCGAGTCCTTACTCATGCAGCTGGGCTTGCTACGCTGTCCCGCAGATTAGATGCACCCTCCTCCGTCCGATCCCGAACTTTGGTCAGCCGAAAACTGCAAATAAAAAGAAAGATTCTTGGCCGTCAACAACACTGGTACTTACTTGTGGACGAAAGTTTAAACTTTCCTTGAAAGCTTCCCAAGCACTAAAAGGGGGAAAATGTACGATGGATCTTATGGAAGTTTGAAAAGGTGCGGGAATCTGGGAGATATTTGGCTTCCAGGATGACTGATCAAGGAAAATGCCATGGTTATTGACACTAGGATAAAAGGATTATCATCATAGGATAATTAATTATAAACGGATAGGAGATAAGGATTAAAGGAAGGATCGAGATAGATAATAGCCTGGAAATTTTGACCGTTCAAGTTAAACCGTGAAAGCCCATTTTCAGCGGCTCAGGAGCTTAGTCTTACAGGTGCTACTTGTAAGTCGGAAAATGGGAAAGAAAAAAGGAAGAGATTACGGAAAACTTTAAAAACATTACTAACAGTAGTGAGTTGGCAAGAGACACTTAAATTGTTGTATTGCATGGTAAAATTAATGCGAGCAGACGTTTTACCCAATATGCCACATTTGATCAACGTTTGGCACAGTTGTTAAATAGAAGGCTTAATTAAGACATTTACAAATGTCTGGTGGTAATTGAAATTCATAAGTCATTGTCTGTGTTGACTCATCTTCATCGTGTGATCACAGGGGAATCTCTTCTAACTAGTGAGAATTTTAACCGAAAATAAATTAATCTGTTGACTGGGTGCCATTTTGATTTTTATCCTTTAATCTCATTATTGTGTTTGTTTAATGCCTTGAAATATGTATCAAATAGAGGTTTGATGTTTTATTGAAAGGCTTAAAATAAAATAAAAAATTATAAAAATTCTAATGGATTCTTGTTATAAAAAAACCCCCTGATGGTATTAGGTTTTTGTTTTTCATTGGACTATCGTCAATCGGATTTTTCCGGATGATCGCCAATTTTCGAAGGTGTTTTCCTGATGAAAAAAAAACGGTCGGCAAGCGGGTGACACCCTGGCAACAGATTTAGCATAATCGATAGACTGACAGTTGCTTGCTTGCGGTGTGGTAAATTAATAAAATGAGACGGCGAGGTAGGACGTGTGATATATCCTTTCCGCCGTTATTGTGGGCATAAGAAATCAGTGGATCGGGTTAAGTTTTAAGCGGCTTTCACAGTCTGGGGTGAACGTCCTTGATGCCTACGGCTATTCCGACCGTATCTGCTGGATTGTTTACATTTAGGTTTGTACTTTCCATTTCCTCTGGCTAACTTTCAGCCCAACAATTACCAGCATCCAGAAGTTGTTTAATTTTGATTTTTTTGGTCATTAAATTAATAAATTAAAACTCGACTGATACACTTAGTTTTAAATATTTATATTTATTTTTTACTTATTTTTCTCAAGAAGCTATGTGCCATTCTGTATGCGCCATTGTGTTATTTAGTCAATTGGTTTTGAAACTTTTTTTTCTATTAGGTCATTAATTACCCTTCTATTATAGCACTATTTACAATACTTTCCTCACTAGAGACCCTTTCCTCAACGAGACAAATGGCGCTTTATAACTATACTTACTTTATAACTATAATTTATATTATAGTTAGGAGATTGCCTAGAAATATTCGAGATGAAAGGTGTTGGGATGATCTTCCATGGTTTTATAGAACCGTCTAAGTCCACTTAGTGCCGTTTCTAGAAAAAATTATATTTGGTTGTCTGTATTGAAATTTGGATACGAAGTAGAGAGCTAGGTTGGTTCGGAATATTTTGAGCTGGTGTGACTGGATTCTTGACATTGGAACGCTTGGTTGAGCCCGACAGTTCATTCCGTCCATAATGATAGTGCAACAGTGTATATGAGGCGTATGTTTGAAAAGCACAAAGATGGTCTCTGGTTCCTTCTAATTTTTTATTCATGTGTTTTTTTCAAATTGTAAATAATTGTTTTCAAATCCTGCCTTCCGAGAGATTGAGAGTGTGTGTGTGAGAGAGAGACATCTGTCAAAGATAACATTGTTGTTAAAATTATACTTCAGTACAAATGGCTAACGATTTTAATTACCTGATTTTCATAAAACCGCTTTTCATTTATAAAAATTTATAAAGGGTGTCCTTTTTAGAAAGCTCGGCTAAATTTTCCTTGAGCCAATGTCGCTATATATATATATCTATATTACTTCAAAATATCAAATACTACCCTATATATCCTGAAACATCATTTTAGAGGATTTTTACGCTGGACACAATGGTGCAAACAGATTTTAAATTGGGCAAAAAATGACAAAGTTATTGGCAACCGGTTTGAAAAAAAAATCATTTGGTTTAGTATTTATGACATTTCATGTTCGAACTACCTGTTTTGCGTAAAAATGTAAAGATTTGTTCTTTTTAACCCCCCTTCACCGGTGCTTAGAGCGATAGAATCAGGAGAGATGGATTGACAAGCATTTTCTATCTTTTGCTGCAGTTCTTCAACCGAGGTTGCTGGGTTATTGGCGTAGACACTGTTTTTAAATGGCCTCACAGAAAATAGTCAAGTGGGGTTAAATCGGGTGACCGAGGAGGCCAACCGATCGCCTGGTCCTATCCTCCTATCCCGATGTGATGATTCAAATAATCTCATCTGCAAAGAATTGTGTGCGGGGCATCCATCAAGCTGGATAATCAATTTTTGTTGTTGTTGCAGCGTAACTTCATCTAATAGTGTTGGTGAAACCTCCCCCAAAAAATTGAGGAACTGAGCAAAATTTAATTTATTTTCGTAGCAATAAGGCCCAAATTATGTATTTCCGTGAAGGCCACACCAAAGGTTGATTCTGTGAA